TAATCAACTGTTACATTCTTTATTTATTTTGCATTTTTAGTAATTTTCTTTTATTTATAATATGGATTATACTCAACAGAATATATTAGTTTTTAATTTGGAAAGTATAACTTTGTTTGAAAAATTATTCTTATTTTTTGTAAAAATTTTTTTTTTTAAAACATATCAAATTAAACTTAATTTACTTTGATTTCTCTTTATAACTTCACTTGCCTAGATTAAATCAAATCTAAGGTGTGTATTGTAAATCATTGCATTTTTACATAACATTTAAAAGAATATCTTGATAAAATAAGGACGTCTGAATAAAGTGCCCTTAGGTCTTTTACATAAACCAGCCAGAGACATTCATAGGGCGGCTAAAAAGACATCTCTAGGATGTCTTGAAAAGACGTCTTTAGGACTTTCATTTGAGTCTTTCATTTGAGAAAAACTAAGGATGTCTTATGGATGTCCTTAGGACGTCAAAATGCCTGCTGGGAAGATTGACTTCACATTGTAATTGTTAATTTTGACTACAACATAAAATAATATTTTTATATTTGCTTTGATAATTTATTTTTAATATAGCTTCTCTTAAATTTTGAATAATTGAAATTTTATCAGTTATTTATTTTATTATTTTGTGCATTTAAGAGGTGCAAAGAAAACACTTTTTAAAAAAAGCCTAATAATGTTATGACTTTTTAAAAATTAGTTTTAACTACAATAAATATGTTAGAAAATAGTCTAATTGAAAGGATGATGGAAAAATAAAGTTAAAAAGTCTACAAAGTAATAAATGTTTTTAGGTTGAAATCAATTGCTAATGAAACGAAAAAGATAGATTTAGACAAAATGTAATTAATCATCTACATAGTATAAAATTGCTGCAAAGTAACTTAAAATTTAAAACTATTTACTCAAGTTTTATAAGATTTATTTACAGGGAGTCAAGTCATAATGCCAGTATAAAATTTTCAAAATATATTAAAAATTAATAGCAAGTCGTTCTATTGCTTTATTATTATTGCTAATATAGTTCAAACCATGGACTGTTATGCTTTTGAATTTGTAGTTGGTAATATTAGGCCAGATAATTTGAAAGATATTCCTCTGACATATTGTGAAAAGTATGTCTATGATTCTGTATGTTTAAGATCTATTGTAGCTGCATATTTAAGAATGTGATAATGTGGAAATAATCTTTGCATACATGATTTAAGATTTTATTTTCAAACTATAATAAGGGAAGATACTTTATTTGATCTCACACATAAAAATATGGCTGAAGTAGAAGATAAAGAAAATTATTAAGCAGCTACAGAAGGTTGCTCAATTTTAGTTGAAAAAATATCTTTCTAGAAGGAAACAACAGAAGTTGCTATAATCAAACTCCACATAATGAAGTTACAGTTTTATTTGTTAGTGAAGGTGCTCCCCCTCCCCCCAAGGAAGTTGGTAATATCAAAGTTCTCATCCTCTAAAAAACTGTATTGAGAATGAGTGCCAACAAAGATTGTATGGTTGATTTACTTTTTTTCCCAGGTGATGCTGGTTGGCAGAACCAATTGGTGAACAACCCTGAATCTGCTACATATGATAGAATTGACCACCATCCAGAAAAATGTTGTATTTATACCCATGATAAAACCACTCAAAAATATTCGGAAATGAGTTTGTTTTCTAGATTTGCAAGAGTACACAGTAGGCCAGGCTTTGAAAAATATCAAAAAAGTGATATTCTTAAAAAAAATTTTTTTTAGATATGTGTAATATTTTTCTAAAATGCATATTTTTTTTAACTGTTTACAAATAACAGAGGGTTCTTTTTCAGATATTCAAAACTACTACAAATTCAATAAAAAATATGTTCAACTTTATTCCTTCACAAATTTAAAACTATTTTTATTTGTTGTGCTTTTTTTTTTAGAAAATTTTAAAAGATAATTGTAGCTTAAAATTTTCTTGTAACAAAATATAAATGTAAATTATCTTTTTTTTTTTATTGTTTAAAATAATGTGTAAAAAATCTTTATTAAAATTATCAGAGAGGTATATATATATAACCTAATATTTTTTGGAACACAAGTGAACACAATTATAAGTATATACAAGAAATAATTAACATGTTTACTATAAAATAAAATTAGTTTTGGTTGCTTCTTCTTGCAAATTTAAGCACTGTCAAGCTTTAACATCTAAAAGCTAAAAATATTTTGTACAACCCCTTCACTTTGAGAGGGTTTTAATATATATATATATATATATATATATGTATATATATAAATATATATATATATATATATATATATATATATATATATATATATATATATATATATATATATATATATATATATATATATATCAATGTATCTTAAAAATGCTGAAAAACTTGTTGATGAATTCCGTTTATTTTGATGAAATCGATGAGGATGATAAAAATATGTTATTCTTAAATTTGAGAACTGACTACTTATAATAGTTCTACTGCACTCTCCCTTGTATGGAAATAACTAACATTACGGTTTTCACACGAATTAGGGTTACTTTTGTTTTTAAATCATTACTTTTTTTCATTCGTGTTATACTGTATACTTCGTTTTATCTGCATAATGAAATATTTTGAGATATACAAGTATATCAGGAATAATCAGTTCTCAATGCACGAAGAGTCTTCCGTTAGATTAAGCTACACAATATTACAAATTTGATGGTTCAAAGATTTTCTAAACAAAAATTATCAAAAAACAATTCTCTTAATTTATCAAATTTATACTCTTTACTTTTGACTTATGTTGTTCATATTTTTATTTACAAGTAAAGATGAAAAAAAAAAGTTATTTAATGGAGAAACTTAAAGCCATCGTCAGCCATTTATCGTATACCTCTGAGTTTTGAGTTTAAAAAAGAAACTAAATCTGTATAGATTGATAAAGAAAGTAAACTTAAAAATGAAACAGCAAACTTGATTCCATCTATCATTGTTTTTAAAGGACAAAAAATATATTTTACAAACCATATTGAAATCACTATGATTTATGAAAAGGTTCTCTAGTATGGTCTCTCAAGCTTGCATGCTTATATAAGGTGCTTTGAATCTTGCATATTGCTTATAAATAAAAATTTAATATTGGCAAACAATATCTATTGAGGCCAAGCAAGATCTTTTGGAGTCAAGAATTCAGTAATGGAGCAAAAGAGTTTAATTCAGATAAGGTGCTTGGATAAAGGTTCTTTGATTGATATTAGATCAACCAAGAGCAGGTGGTAGTGGGAACACTAAAGATGGTAATACAGGATAGCTTTTTCAAATGAAGACGTATTTTGTGAAACTACATTAATTAATAAAGTGTTAATTGAAAGATGAAATGTTATAATTAGTTGTGTTTCCAGAGGTTTTGAAACAGACATTTTGGGATTATAGTTTAGAAACTGCCAGGTATTTTCTTAAAAGTTACTCCTGGTAATACATACTTCAATGTCTGCATAAAATAATAATGCATGAATAATAGTGGAAAAAAAGATATTGCCTAATGGTCTTATATCAGAAAAAAAACTCAATAGACAATTTTAATAGTTATCGCCAAGACCATGCAAGAAAAATGTAATGTAATGTAAGGAAAATAAGTCAACCAAAATGCAACGAAGATGTAATAAAACAACGGTTGTGCACATTTCCAGTCCAGTTTAATAAAAATACCAATAAAAAAGGAAAGAAATCCCTTTTCTTTTCTTTTAATGTTGTTTTTTTATATTGTATATGTTTTCTTTTATGTAGTCATGTTTTCTTTTATGTTGACCTGATATATAAATAAGTTAAGAGTTTGTTTGTTTTGTTTTATTATAAATTATGTATAACTTTATTGTTATAATAAACTTTATTTAAACATATTGCTATGGTTACTTAGTTTTGCTATGCTTCAATTTTGATAGTGTCCACTTAAAAATATAAAAAAGTATGTTAATTTGTAATTGAAAAATTTTTCTCTCTAAGAATTGTATTAAGCTATTAAGCTATTAAGCTGTATTGTACTATTAAGCTCTATATTGCATGACTCAACATCTGACAATAACAAAATTTCGCAGCATTGTAATTTTTTGTTGAATTTCTTCGTTACAGAATTTTTGGTGTATGGTTTGATTTCAGAAACAAGTAAGTAATCTCTAGGTGTTCTACCACCTAATTTTGCTCTGCAAAATTAAGAAAATATAGTAACCAAATATAAATAAATCACTTTTATAAGAAGCAAAGTCCTCATGTGTGCTAGTCAGAGATCTTGCTGATCTGTGACTAGCACACTGTTGCTAAACAAGTTTCACTGCTTGAGCTATGATGTCAAAAGCTCAGCATTAGACTTGGTTTCAGATCTATGATCAGATTGTTGATGTCTTTCTGATAGAGGAGAAAAAGCCATAGAAAAGTATGATCTTCTCTCCTCAATCACATCCTTGAAATCATAATCTAAATTTACATGTCATTCTCAATGTTTGAACTATAACTACCTCTTGAAGATAGCAAATTCCTTTACCATGAGTGGGAACAGGAAGCCTGAGGAAGTGCGGTACTTATGAAATATTAATACCTTTATCAACCTGTAATATATATGTAAAATACTATGTAAATTTAAAAGAAACTTTACACGTTACCTAATACTAGATATGATATTAACACAATTTACTACAATTAAAAAAACTTTTTCAATTACAGTAAAACCATTGCATGTAAAAAAAGTAACCTTTAAAAGTATGCATTGTACACACCACACATCTTATGATATATCTTCAAGGAATATATATATATTTTTTTATTTTTTTTTTAATATTCTTCTCCTCCCCAAGAACAAAGGCACCACTACAACCATGAAGTCTATGTTTTTCATTTTAATTTATTTTTATTGTGGTTACAACCCTCTCCAAACTCTACAATTATAAATTTAGAACCTTTTGCTTACAAAGCGAGCGCAAAACTATTACACCACTAAAATTACAACACACAGTATAATTAATAAAAGAATAGTTAATAAAAAATATGGCTAAGAAATAAGGAAAAAAATATATATATATCATTAAGAAAAAAAAATGCTAAATACCATTAAGAAAAGAAAATGTAAATATATCTCAACATGAGCATAAATAAATATATATATATGGACCTCAACATGAGCATATTCAAATTGTAATGCTTTTTTGATGTGTGACATATTTTTATGTTAACTTTATTATGAAAATTGTTCAGACAAAGAAGAATAAACTTATTCTAAGTTGCAAATATGTTAATGTTTAAAAAAAAAAAAGTTAAAGACTTGTTTTAAGCAATAAAAAAATAACTAAAAGAACTATAAACACTAAGGTAACTGCTTGCATTTTTAACAATAACAACAATAACAACAACAACTACAACAAACAGTAATGAAATATAAAAAATTATACCTTGAGAATATTTATAAAATTTTGTATTTAAAGAAACAAAACAAACTTTTATTCTAGTAGAAAATTTTCTATCACTGCTTTTTAAATTTTTTACAGCAGGAATAGTATTTATGAGCTCTTCAATCTCAGTTTCCATTGCCATGTCAACATTCTTGAGGAGATCTAATTTTGTACCAACAACAATAATATAAAAAAATTTTACTCTAGCTACTAAATTTTCAAACCATGGTTGAAGTAGTTGAATGCATTGATTTTTTTTAGTTACATCCCAAACTAATAAATATAAAGATGAAGAAGATAGAAAACACTGGTGGGTTGTAAAATATTCTTCGTGTTCTGCGAAATCCCATACTTGAAAAACAAAAGGTTCCTTTTTCTGGAAAGATATAATGACCTCTTCAATATTAATACCTAAACAAAACTTTTAATAAATGTGTGTGTGTATATATATATATATATATATATATATATATATATATATATATATATATATATATATATATATATATATATATATATATATATATTAGTATATTTTATATAATATATTGTATATATTGTGTAATATATACAATATATTGTATATATTATATAATATATAAAATATATTGTATATATTATATAATAAATATAATTTATTATATTTATATATATATATATATATATATATATATATATAAATATATATATATATATATATACAATATATTGTATAATATATATAATATATTGTGTGTGTGTATATATATATATATATATATATATATATATATATATATATATATATATATATATATATATATATATATATATATATATATATATATTATATATATATATGTGTGTGTGTGTGTGTGTGTACATATATAGCACAAACGTCTTATAGGCTGTTCACACGAGGGTACATTTGATGGAACATTCCGTGGAACATGGAACATGAACAAATATCCTCTCGTGTGAACGCAAATAGAACAAAAATTCAAGGAACATTTGAGGAACTTTTGTACCGTCCCGGCAAGCCAGAACAAATAAATGTTCCGGAACATTTATTTGGTTTTGTATAAAAAATGGTGCCTATTTTCAACTATTTTTAAAATAAGCGTATGCATATAAGCTAAATGATTCAATAAAAATGCATTGCAAGATGCAAATTTGTTTTGAAAGTAACTCAAACTATTTTTTTTTACAAAGTTGTTGTCATCTTAACAAGAGTTTTTAGTCCTTGATCTCTGCATTGTCCTAGGTCTTGGTCATATATCAAGACAAGATTATCGATATACTATTTGCCTTTCAACATGTTGCCTTGAAACTTTTACTTTTTGCCTTCCATCTTTTTTATTGAATTCAAAACATTTCTTCGAATATAATTTCATATCTTTATTCATTGAGTAAAAACTTGTGGTAATTTCATGCAACCAAGAAAATTCTGATCCCACTCGTGTGGGATCAATCATGAGTAGACCAGATGGTGGGCATTTATTTAAAAAACAATTATTTGACCATCACAAATTTCACAAAGTTATTTTTAACGATATTTAAAATTTGTATAAATAGAATAGAAATTTAACTATTAGTGTATTATTAATTTAAAAAGAAGTTATATATGTGTGTTTAAAAACTTAATCTTAAAATATAACATTACAAAGACAGTATTATTCTTATAAGATCAGTTTTAATTTGAATTGACAAGAAGTATAATTCAAGTTAACATTTAACTTGCGTTAAGAAAGTTTAATTTTCATTGTTTAATAGTTTTTATTTAATTATATACTTTGCAAGCATTGCTGTTAATGCATTTTTAATAAACTTATAGTAATTTTATTTATAAAATTCAACTTTGAACTAATAAGCAGAGTTGTTTATCATTGGCCTTGCCAACAGTGATAATAATAAAAATAATAATTACTATTATTATAATAATTATAATAATAGAATAATAATAGTAATAATAATGATAACAATAACAACAATAACAATTGTTAATATTATTATCATTATTATCATCATTGTAATTATTATTTATATTAATATTATTAATGATATTATTATTGGTATATATTGTTATATATAAGCTTTGTCATATATTTTATTTATGTCATATATATTTTATTGTATTAGCTTTGTCTTATCTTGTTATTTTAATTTGTGAACATTATCATTAGTATTTTCCTCATAAATATTCTGTATTTACTTAATATTAGTTAATTTACTGTTTGTGAATAATTGTGAAAGTAAGACCTTTATTCAGAATATATATTATTGATTGACTGTATTGATATGACTGTACCTTATATCTTTGCCACAATGTACTACAATTATTGACATTTAAAAATAAAAATAAACAATAGTGTTGAAAGATCAATGTTATTAAATAACATAATTATCACATTGCATGGAAAAGTAAAAAAAAGTAAAAGTAGCATCTGAAAGTTTCTGTTCTCTTGGCTACCAGTTTTTGGCAATTTATTAAATTATTTAGTAAGCCCATAACATTATTAAGTTATTTTAAGCCCATAACATTTATAGCAATTATGAAGTTTAACCTTTAATTTTATTATTAACTATTTCTCTTCTTTTTGTTGTTGTTGTTGTTATTGTTGCAAGATTCAATGTACTTATCCTTTTTAGAAGGTAAAACTTTAATTTTACACAATGTCTCAGCATTCAGAAAAAGAGTGTATTGACGCTAGCACAACAAATATTGATCTTTGCACATCTCCTTTAAATAAGTTTGTATGGAATATGGCTAACACAAGAGTATTATTAGATTTATGGAAAGATAACTACAAAGCATTAACATCTGCAAGAAGAAACACAAATATTTACAAACAAATGGCAGCTGAATTTTCAAACACATTTAATATCGTACCTCCGTTAACTGGATATCAAATTCAATCTAAAATTAGTAATTTGAGGAAGCAATTTAGGTATGTACATATTCTACATTTAATGTTTGATACCTTACTGAAATACTGAAAGTATTTTACAAAACTAACCATGTGAATAATATCTAATTGCAATTTAGTTTGTTGATTTTAGTAGTTTTAATATAACTGATTGTTATATTAAAAATTACTTAAATCTTATTCAGTATTGAAGATTTACAGCTCGTTGATAATTATTTTGTTAATAATTCGTTATTTTATTATTCGTTAATAATTTGTTAATTTTGTTAATAATTATTTCGTTAATAATAATTTGTCCATTTAAAGTTATTTGATTAATCTTATAGGGTGTTAATGATGTGCTTATATTTACTTATAATTATGTATATTTTTCATAGACGAGAAAAACTTCAAGTTGGTTCATCGGGAGATGCTCCTAGTAAATGGTGGCCTTACGATATTGTTGCCAAAATAATAGGTGGTGAAGCTTCCCTTGACAATGACCTTTTATCTCAAAGTCAAAACTTTTCTACTCAAGATTTTCAAGGTGGTCAGGTAAGTTTAGTATAATTTATTGTTGTATATTTTAAAGTGCTATATATTTTTTAAAGTAATATAAACAAGCATGTTAACTATTTCTACAAAATAAGGTTTAAGAGGTTCTTAGTTTTGCAACATTTGGCAGACTTAAAACATAAAGATCAAAAACATATAATATAAAGTTTTTGAATTATAAAAGGGATCTTTTAATATTGGCTAGATCAATTTGTAAAATGCTATTGTCTAAATAGATCCTTTTTGAAAGTCAAGTTTTTCAAAGTCAAGAGATAAATTTTGATTGAAAACATGATTTATAATCATTTCTCAAATGTGTAACTTTTTCAATGTGTATATTTTATTTACAGATTGCCAGAATGGAAGATGGCAAGGAGACTGTCAGTATTTTAAATATTGAAGCTTTGGATGATACAAGTGATGTGCAATCAATTGTCACTATTCCTGATGAGGAACTAACTCAATCTACATCCAACTGCAATAAACGAAGGAACTCTGATGATAAAAAAACTTTGAATAAAATAGCAAAAACTGAACCGGTGAGAAAAAATAAAAAAACAAATTTGTCTTCTGAATATTTAAAATAGCAAATAAAAATCTAGATGTTCAAATCCGTTCACAAGAGCTACGAATCAGAGAGGTTGTTGCTTTAGAGCGTATTTGCGATGCAATTGAAAATGCATCTAAAGCCCAAGTAGATGTGTCTAAAGCCCAAGTAGAATATTATAAATTTTTAATAAAAAAATAAGGTGTTCTATTAGTCAAGATATCTTTTTAGTAATTATGTTAAAGTTGAAAGGTCAGTATTTTTTCAACAGTATACCTTGTTTACAATTCTATGCAATATATATTTCATAAGGTTTTTCAATGTTTTAACTAAAGAGATGGTTAGTGAAATATTGTACAAGCTTGTAGATGAAGCTTTATTTATATATATTTTTTCATGTTACCATATTACTATTATCAAAGGAATTTTTACTTTATGTAAAATAAAAATATTTTGTGATTTCAAGCATTAAAATGCATATCTGGTGGTATTTTTTAAATTTGTCATGTTATTTTATAAATAACTTTTTTTGTATCTCTATGCTATATATATTTAGTATTTTTACCAAATAATTTTTTTTTGCGATATGAAGCAAGCCTGTAGATGAATTATAGTGATATGTTTTTTGCCGACGTGTTTTGTTTTTAATTTATACAAATTGCATTAGATGTTTCATTTTTATTTTTGTTTACAGATCATGCTGTATCAATTCTAACAAAATGGTTTTTTAAAATGTGTTTTAATTTCTCTTGAATTGTAATATAATAAGTATTATATTTATTTAATATATTTATATAGTTTTAATAGCTTTTTAGGGAGACATCTGTAAAGGAAAAAGCTATTGGAAAAGCATGGAAAGTGTTTTGACCCTACTTCGATCAAGAAGTAGAACATTAATCAATGATGAATCAATCACCCATTTTTATATTTAGATTTAGCTTCCTTTAAGTTAAATCAACAAGGGTATCTGATTGAAAGAAAAGTTTGGGTTAGGCCGAAAAGTTCTCAATGGTTTAATGAGATTTTTAATCAAATAGAGGAATGTGAATTTAAAGAGCATTTTTGAGTAAATCGTAACACATTTAATTTCCTAGTTAATGATTTGCATCCACATTTAGGCAAAACTACCACAACTATGCAAGAACCTATTTCAGTAGTAAAACGTGTTGCAGTTGCATTACATTGTCTAGCTTCATGTGAAGAGTATCGTGTTGTGTCTAGCCTTTTTGGCATAGGAAAGTCAACAGCAAATTTAATTGTTCATGAATTTATTAATGCTGTTAATGATATTTTGCTCCCTAAATATGTTAAATTTCCATTGTCAGTGGAAAATTTAAATAAACATAGTAGAGATTTCGAAGCTATTCTTGGTTTTCCACAATGCGTTGGAGCTGTTGATGGATGCCACATCCCTATTTTAGCCCCTAAAGATCAAGCAATTTCTTATTATAATTATAAATGGTGGTATTCCATTGTACTTTTTTCCGTTGTAGACTGTCGATACCGTTTCATTTTTACAAGTGTTGGATCGCCTGGTAGAAATAATGAAAGCTATATTTTGCAGAATTCTTCTTTGAAAGCAATTTTAGAATCAAGTCTATTTGATAAATGTTGTAAAGACCTGGGCGATTCTCTTGTTCCGCTATGTTTGATAGGTGATTCAGCATTTCCTTTAACGCGTCATTTGTTAAAACCTTATCCTGAAAATTTGGAGCTTAGTGAAATTCAAAAAAATTTCAATAAAAAACTTTGTGGAGCTAGAGGAGTAGTTGAGAATGCTTTTGGGCGCGTTAAAGCTCGATTCTGTGTAATTTGCAAACGTATGGAATGCGATATTAACTTGGCTACAAGAATTATTAATGCTTGCGTCACTCTTCACAACATTTGTGAATATTATGACGATATTATTATAATAGAATGGCTTATGCATCATCATGATGACAGTCTAGCTCAACCCAATACAGTTTCTACAACTGGGAACAATGGACCAGAAAAAAATGTTCGTGACTCAATTGCTAAATACCTTTATGAAAGGGACAAGTAAAGTAGTAATAATATTATTTATTATTTAAAGCTTTAGCTGTAATATGGTTATGTATTTACTTACTTTCCTTGAGGTTATCAAATGTGTCTAAATAAATAAATATTAAATATGTATGAACACAAAATGAGATTAGTTTTAACTGGTCGTGGGTAACATATTAATGTATAATATGTTTATTCGGTACTATACCACTGATGGACTATTATTCTGTGTCGTCAAAAGCGACTAAAGGAGATATGACCTATCCATAAAAGCCAAAAAATGGGATAACAAAATTCCAACGTCACCTTTTGTATGGCGGGTATTTTGGGTTGGGTTTCTATTGTCTAACTCTGAGCTAGCTAAACCCTCAGCGTTATTTGTATTTTACCTCTCATAAATGTTTAAATATTAAAAATTAATAAATTATATTAACAATGTGTATTTGCCAAACTGTTTGTCACTAATTTTTATTCGAGTTTTACCTAACGTTTTTTTACTCGTTTTTTCTTTTATACCGTCAAGCCAATTTTACGTGTGAACGCTACAAGTAACATTTTGTTCCAGGAACATTTGTTCCGGAATAATGTTCCGCTGAACATCGCTAGTGTGAACATGGTATTAGCATGTTTAGCCATATAAAAAGCATAATAAAATAACATTTAAAAAAATATAAAATAACATAACTATAATTGTAATTATTATAATTGTTTAAACATAAGAAACATATTAGTATCATTTTTAATTTGTTATCTTATATTATTGATAGATAACTAATTTTGTTGTTGGGGTTCAACTTTTAATGTTACCCCCTATATGGGTAACATTAACAGTAGTATGCTTGATGTTGGTAATGTTAGTTACATCAAGAGAAGTAAGATTATCATTGAAATTTTGACAAACAAAATAAAGAAAACATTTTTAACATATTAACACCAACCTATATTTTCATTTTAAAAATAAACAGCATTAAAAAGTTATAAAACTTCAATAAAAATGTAATGTTATTTCTTGAAAGATATCCATTAGCTTCAGTTCTGATAGTGTTCACTTAAAAATATAAAAAAGTATGTTAATTTTAAAACTTTTTTCTCTAAGAATTGTGAAACTATTAAGCTCTACATAGCATGACTCAACATCTGACTCCAACAAAATCTTGCAGCATTGTAATTTTTTGTTGAATTTTTTCGTTACAAACTTTTTGGTGTTTGGTTTGATTTCAGAAACAACAAGATAATTTTTTACATTTTCAGGTTTTGATGTTTTGCTCTTTATATTATGCAAAAATGTTAGGTGTAGATTTATCTTTCTGCAAGCGTCAGTTTTTAGATTTTACATAAATTTTACATAAAATCTATAAATAGATATAGATTTTAAATAGTTACATTTTATAGATTTTAAATAATTACATTTGACATATTGGTACATTTTTTTTTAAGAATTATTTCTTTTAACTTAGGATTTGCTTTTTTTGATTCCATTACAAATGTTAATCAATCATAAAAACATAAAATGGTATTATAGTATGGCTTTATTTATCTTTTGAATAAAGTTTTTCAGCAACAAAAAAACAAGAAATTAGTTTAATTTACACCTTTTATTATTTAGTTATATGTTATTATATGGATAAAAATATTTGTTCATTTAACATCTGGCTATTGGCTATTAACATACTGGCTAATTTAAACAATAATCAACAGGTGATGGATAAAAACATTTAATCTAACACATGTCAATGTTACCCACAAAACACACCTTCAAAGCAACCCCATGTTACCTTAATGGTTTGTGTATACATATATAAGTCTATCAACAACAACAAAATCTTTTTAAATAAAAAAAATCTGCACTATTTGAAATAAAACAAGATATACTGGTTTAAGTTTACATGTATAAGTCTATCAAAATCAAAAACAACATTTTTAAGCATTTTATCCAACTTCACCCTCAGTCTAAAATAACCCTATTTATTATCAATTTATAATTAAAAAAAAAAAAAATTAAAAATGATTTAGGTTACTATTATTAATAAATGTATAACTTGATAAATGTTTCAAACTTGTTGCTTATATTTGTTTCTAGCCAATATAAAAAAAATCAGATCTTTACACAAAGGATTTTATACTGTTTTTTACTAAATTTTACAAAACTTTTTTTTACAAAAATTACCTTTTTATTATGATGAACATAACATTAAAAACTTTTTTTAGTGTATTTTGATTTAAGATTTGTATTTTGCATTTATAGGGTTAAAAAATAAATAAATAAAAAAGTGACATAGCACGTAGTTGTGTCCTACCATCCTGGAGTATAATATATCCTAGTATAATATATCTCGCTTATAATTCTAAATCTCTATAAATTTTCTAGTATACTATATCTCGCTTATAATTCTAAATCTCTATACATTTTCTAATATACTATATCTCTCTTACAATTCTAAATCTTTTTACATTTACTAGTATATCTCTCTTATAATTCTAAACCTCTTTACATTTACTAGTATACTTAATCTCTCTTATAATTCTAAATCTCTTTACATTTTCTAGAATACTGGAAAACATAAAAATGATGTTACAGTCACTAACATGTAAAAAAAAAGTCTCATTTAACGCTTTTTTTTTTTTCCTTCATTAGAGTGACATCAACTATTAAGCAACATTTTAATGTCGTTTAAAAGTTAAAAATACATTTTCATAATAAAAATATCAATACATAAAGGTTTTTAGCAGGGTGTAAACTAACCGTGTGGGGTCCAGTCAAATGCGGTATTCCAATATACTCATTAGGAAATTTTAATGTTTAGCATTAATTGTCCAAATCAAAGGAAAATTATATAAATAACATCTATGCTTTATTTTAAAATGTTATTAAGAGAAAATTTTATTTTAAAATACACATGCTTAAGTATGAATTTGTATTTAGTTAGCCTTTAAAGGACAGACAATTTGAAAATACTTAACAGTTTTACATTAAAACATAATCTCCAGCTATGGGGATCCAACTTATAGAATTGGGAAACAAATTGGATTCACATAGATGGGCACCAATAATTTTTTCCTCTTTGAATCCACAACTCTGTTCTCATTCTCTGAACTCATTAAAACAACTGCACTATTTTAACACCATAAACCATTGCTTTATGGTCTTTACAACTATGACAAAAATTTATAATTATATCACAAATACATTGTAACCACTCTAGTGACCCCCTACATTTTTAGAGAGACAAATTTCATGAAAAAACAAATAATTTTACCATGTGATGATTGATTCACAAAAGTAGAGTCATTTTTCAGCCTTTTAAGCAGAGTTGTCTTCCCTTGCTGTGAAAACCCAATTATTATTAGTTTCATTTTATAACAAGGTTTTGAGTTTGTTATGTATCCCATCAAACAATCAAAGTTTTTTTTAGGTATTCAGGTGAAAGATTATTAATCTAGAAATAAAAAAATAAAAAAACAATTCTTAAATTATAACTAAAACCATTCAAATTATGTTTATGTTTGTGTATTCAGGTGGAAGGATTTCTGATCTGGATGATTAATCGTAGATGAATAATCAGGATTTCTAAT